CTTCAATTGCTGCGTAGTCAAGGCCAGTTCAAGAAGCTCTTTGGAAGATTTTCGTACTGTTATGCTGGAAGCTTCTGCTTCCCTTCATTTCTTGGAGACAAAAAAAAAAAGTAAGAACCAGTTTCTGTGCGTGACCTGTGGAGACCCTGCGCATCCTGTGCTAGTGCTGAGAGCAGGGGAGGGAAGTAATTGCTTTCAGCAGTTGGGAGGCGTGGGTGGCAGGATGGCTTTGCGCGGTGCTGGAGGACGCTCCGTACATGCATCCCTCCTAAACAAATACCTCTTTAAATGTGTATTATGGGGATGCAGGGAACAGCTTTTTTGTTTTGGTTTTTTTTTTTTTTCCTTACTCCAAGTAGGGAGAGGCTTATTAGTACTCTCCTTCCAAAGGCAAGGTGCGGAGGCAGGGAAGTTGTGAGACAAGGAACATTTGCTTTTATCAGTCAAATCTGCTCTCTCCTGGACAGTCACTTCAGCCAGAAATATGAGGAAAGGAAGAACAAGGTGCTGTCAGAAGCATGGCTAATATAGGGGAAGTACATAATATTTTTCAGCACAGCTACAGTAATGAATTTGTGTCAGTAGGAAGGATCTCTGTGATGCTGCTTGATGCATCCATGCTGGATAAATACCTGTTGAAGAAAATGAGTTCTATATCACTGATGTCCATGCCAGAGTAACTGCACTCTGTTGGACATGGTATTTGCATGCTGGAAGAGCCTTTCTCCAGGGTATTTTACAACTGCAGTCTCTGAGAATTCCCAGGGAGCTCCGGCTAAGTAGGAAAGGGAAAGGAAGGTTTCAAGGTGAGATGTGATGGAAGAAAAAAAGGTTTGGATAGTTTCAGAGCTCCAGACAGATGGAGCTAAAAGAGAAATGGATGCTCTAAGCATCTACTCAGATTTAGAGTCACAGAGGAAGGAAAAAAGCAGACCTGAAGGTGCAGGGGTGTGAAATGGGAGCGAGAGCTGACAGCCCCCAGGCTGTAGAGCAAGGTTAGACACAGATCTGGAGGGAAATGTCTGCAAGCAGCAATCTGGTCTTCGGTAAAAGACAGATAAGTCTGGGAGGTCCACAGGTTTTCAGTGGAGCTCAGCTGTGAACAAGATGGAACTGGCCCGTTTGAGAGCAGAGGAGTAACACTGGTGCAGGCAGGGAGGCAGTCAGGAGCAAGGGTGACTTTGTGGTGCATCCTGCCCTGAGCTGGGGTCAGGGATCAGAGACAGCTCTGCTTAAGCCCAGGAAGGCTCCCTGTCCCAATGGGAAAGACAGACAGATTTTTCAGTGTTTTATCTCAGTGTTGCTGAAAGAGCTGAGTCTGTCATTATTTACTGCCATCTGTTAGAGAGACAAGAATGGCAGCTGCTAACAGTGATACCTTACATCTCATAATGTCTTTCATCCTCCAAAACTCGAGCCCCCAAGGGATTTACAAAGACAATGCAACCAGTCTGATGCCATAAGAAGAGTTGGGCTGGTATCAATCAGTGGATATTTAGCTGTTCCTTGTAAGCTATTTGCATCTCTGGAAACATTGCATTTATACAAATGTGTTTATATCACTGCTAACAGGCAGCACAGCCCAAAACCTCTTGTGAGAGGTCTGGCCTGTGCAGGTGAGTATAGGAAGGTTTGTATCAGATACCTGTCTGTGACAAACCTCAGGTGGAATTCATCATATTTTTGATTCAGAAAGAAATTTGTCTCTCTTTTTCATTTTTGTTTTGGTCCCATATTTTGAAGGCCTGGGTACACATCCATGCGCAGTAAGATTTAGAGGTGATTATAGTGAGCTGGGAAGCAGATGTCTGACACCAGTGTAGTACACAATGTCTCCCAAAGACTTTTTCCCTTGCACGGTGTTATCCTGATCATACTCCAATAATCTCACTGAGATGAATTTGTTGTGGGGGGCACTAGAAAGTGCAGAGCTGCAGTACAGTGACTAAATGCCTCCAGTCCTGTGAGTTGGATCCAACACAGACAGTGTTTTGTGGCTCCTCTGTTCCAGAACTTCGCTCCAAAGTCAGTCGATGGCCAACAGATGACCTTGTACATGTTTCCTGGGTTCCTTGTGGCTCGGTTCCATCACTTATGAAATAAGGATAATGTCACTGACCTTGTCTGCAAAATGATTTAAGATCTAGTAATAAAAAAATACTAGGAAGGAGCTCAGGTGATATTACTATTTCATATCTATGAGAATGCAGATACCAAAGAAAATTACACCTGTGTGCAGGTCATTCTGTCCCTTGGTCAAAATGAGGGGGGGAGAGGGAAGGGGATTTTTTAAGGAGCAGCCATCTGCCAGGCTTACAGAAGAAATTACTGGAGTGTGTTATCAAGAGTTATCAAAACTTGCTGGAGGGGAAAGAATTTTAAAATGCTAATAAGGTTTCATTTGTGGAGCCTTGGCTGGGCCAGTTGGTTTCCTTTCTGCATTTCTCCAGGCTGACTCTGCACTGCCTTTCAGTTCCGGCTTGGTGTCCAGCTCTGGCTCTCTTGTACTTTCTCAGTGTGGTTTCTAGAGAGGGTGAAATCATCCTCGCTGAACTGTTTCTCATGCGTATCATTTTGCACTGTGTGGAGCGGGTTATTTCAACAAACTCTAAATTTTTACAATGCCAAGAAGTAGGAGCGTTGATTGCATTCCTGGAGGCTGCCTCCGTGTCCCAAGGATGTGCATTTCCATTTTATTGTCTTCTATTTTTACCTCGTTTTGGGGAGGAGGAAGGGCTGGAACACCCTTGGGACAGGCAGCGACTGTCTGTGGGCTGGTGTGGCCGCGGTGTGGAAGGATGGACACGGGCAGATCCTGGGGAGGTGGCACCCAGCCCACACGTGGCACACACATGAGCTGCCCTGGCAGCCCCCGGGTAGCCACAGGGATCCAGCTGTGGAGAACCCCTGCTGCTGCCTCCGGCTTTTGAAGGCTCATTTAAGCCCTAAAATAACAACTGCCACTCCCTGCTGAGAGAAACCAGCCGGGATTAGTTGAAGCCTCCCATTCCCCGCTGTTTAGTGAAACAAGGACTTTCCCCTCTATGTAAATAGGGTGACATTGCCGCCCTCCCCTTCTCCCTGAAGGGGAGCTCTGTGCTCCAGTGCTC